AGGGTTGGCGGGAGTTACGATTCGACCATAATCTTTTGGATCCACGACCTGGAGGTCAGATCGGTGGGGAGTGGTGCTGTGGAGTGCAGATTGGTGATGGGCTGGAGCTGAACTACGACCAGAGGCCGTGCGAAGGACAAACGGTGGAAGGGGGGCGATTTGACAGTGGGTTGTGGACGGAGGGGGAGCGGCGGTCTCGCGCGGCGACGTTTGGGGCCGGGCTCACAATTTCTGGCGTGGCCGAGGTTGGGCTTGGCGATTTGGCTGCGGTTTGGACTGGGACATATGATTTCGGCGATGTTGAGGCTGTTTCTGGCTGGAATAGTAGTGACCCACTCAATTCTGGTGATATTATGGTTAGGACATGCAAGTTTGGCTCAAAACCTTTGGTCGGTGGGGCTGAGTATCGAAATTCCAGCCAAATGAGGGTTGGGTCACGTGTTTCTGATATGGGCAGGCCTGATTCTTGCGTGATTGGGTCTGTGCTGCGTAATTCCAACATTATTGGGCCTACTTCTGGCTCAATAGGGGTTGGGCCTAAAAATTTCAGGGAAAGTGAGACCAATTTCAGCAAGATATGTAATGGGTCCTCAAATTTTGGCCCAAAGTGGACTGGGTCTGGGAATTCCAGCACTCCTGGGGCTGGGGATGGAGAAATTGACTTCATTGGAGTAGGACTTGGACACTCTGCAAATGGAAGATCTGATATTTCCGAGATTATAACTCCAAAAAACAAAATTTTTATGTTTTGTAGACTAAACAATGGCTCCAATGGGTTTTCTGCTCTCAATTACACTTCTGTGGCACCTTGGTTTGTCACCGTTGAAGTTGGCTCTTCAAGAATTGCGATGCCCTTCAACATTCTGAAAGGTGGGCTTAACAAAATGGGAAGGAGATGGCATCATTCCACTGCGGTCACTTGACCACACCTTGAGGACAAGGTGTCTTGGAGAGGGGAGTAATGATATGATTATGTTAGTAATTAGTAATCAATATAATAAGTGGTTAGTGGTTTGTTATTAGGGTTGGTTTGTTATGTTTGTTAAGCTAGTTAGTAGTAGTATATTAGGAAAAGAAAGAGACTAAAGGGGGGGATTGATTAGAGTAAACTGGAAAAACTCTTGGGAGAGCTAGCAGACCTCTCGAATGTCTGCCAATCTATCTTGTAATCGAGTCTAATTCTTGTTTTCAATAATAATCTTTTCTTTGTTCTTATCAGGGGCCTTTACCTCTAGATTCCCCTAGTACTTCCTTTGCCACTTTTCTAATGCAGCTGGCCATGACATCCCACATAGTATTTGCATCACCTATTTATGACCAAGTAGCCTAATCTAACAACTTCCCTTTAAAGGCCAATTGCTTTATTCCCTTCAAATGTCACCAACGAGTTCGTGGGAGGTGGTTTATCTTAGTCCTTTTATAGCAAAGCTTAATGCTCACATCTAAGATCACTAACCTATGTTGGGTAGCTAGTACTTCTTCAGGAAATACTTTACAATTCTTACATAGAGAACGTTCTCTATACCTCGTGAGAAAATAATCTATCTAGCTCAAGTTCCTCCCATTCTTAAAAGTGATCAAGTGAGAATCTATTTTCTTGAAAAATGTTTTTGTTATCATAAAATCATGCCCCAACGCAAATTCCAAAATAGATTTTCCTTCTTCATTTCGAGTTTCAAAACCAAAACCACCGTGGATCCTTTCGAAGTTTTCCCTATCCTTACCAACATGCCCATTAAAATCTCCTCCAATGAAAATGCTATCCTCATTGCCTATACGATACACTAAGTCATCTATGTCTTCTTAGAACTTGATTTTAGTTTCCGCATCCAATCCTATTTGTAGAGCGTAAGAACTAATTACATAGATGAACTTATTTTCTAGTGCCAATTTGAGGATAATAATTCTATCCCCTATTCGCTTAAGCTCAACTACATCATCTTTCACAATTTTGTCTACTAGAATACAAACTCCATTGTGATTTCTTTCCCAACCTGTATACCATAACTTGTGTCTTAAATTTCCAATCTCCTTTCTCTCCTGTCCACTTCGTTTTCTGTAAGCATAAAATGTTAATTCTTCTTCTTACCATAACATCTACTAGTTCCATAGATCTACCAGTTAAACAACCTACATTCTAACTATGTAAACGAATTTTCCTATCATAGGCTAGCTCTCCCCCTTGCACACGTCCATGAATGTGCAAGGACCCCTCTTGCATATGTTTTACCATATCCGGGGCCCGACATGGCGCATGGGCTCGCTTTTCCCCCCGCACACATCCATGAATGTGCGAAGACCCCCCTTGCCTATTTAACACTATACACGGGGCCCGGCAAAGCGCGTCGCATGTAGGGAACGCTCCAACAGATTCTATGTAAGTGAAATCCGTGAGAGTGACTTATTTTTACGCTGGCCGTCAACCTACCGCAACCCTCTTCCTTTACCTGGGCTTGGGACCGGCTATACAAACGCATAGGCGGAGTTGGCCTTGAGAAGTACATCTCGTGTGAAAAATATTTTCACGCAGACACGGCTCATTTTTTGCTTGGACCGTGTGTAAACTCCTATTGGCACACCAAAATTTCACCCTCATCTGCATGTTCAACCACTTCCAGATTCTCCTCTTCTTGTGGATCTTCATTCTTCTTTTCTAACTCAAATTCTTCCTCAAGGATGGTTACTTGGGACACTCAGATGCTATGTGCCCATATCCTTGACACTTGAAACATTTTCGCGAAGTGTTGGAAGTTCCAACAGGCTTGGCGGTAGAATCCCCTTTTGAATCCAGTTTAGACACATTTGAAGATGTACCTTTCGCAAACGTCTTCATGCCGGATGAACTTGCATTCCCCTGATTGGAAAAGTAAGGTCTTGACGTTGCCTTTGACTCACATTTGCATTGTTGCTCCACGTTGTAAGTTTCCTAACATCACTGAACGTCCAATAAGGTTGCAGTCAAATAACATCTGCTATTTCCTTCTTCAATCCTCCCATGAATCGTGCGATGGTTTTCTCTTCGGGTTCCACCACATCACATTTGAGCATTAGAAACTCAAATTCCCGTGTGTAGTCTTGCACACTCAAGTCAGTCTGCTTGAAATTGTAAAACTTCAAATAATTTTCCTGCTTATAATTGTCCGAAATAAACCTCCTTTTCATTTCGCGCTTGAGTTTTTTCCATGTTCGGATCGGTCTCCTTCCTTCTCGAAATCGTTCCCGTTTCAGGTTTTCCCACCAAAGGGAAGCGTATCCCTTGAGTTTGATTGCCACTAACTTCACTTTTCTTTCCTCCAGTGTAAAGCCAATCAAGGAAAACATCACCTTGTGCACGACCATCGAACTCAGGAACGTCGATCTTCACATCACCTTCGCGGCCTCCATGGTGGTTCCGTCGTCTTTGGCGAGTGTAGGCGTCATCGCTGGATTCATCTTCAATGTGAAATGGATTGATGTCTTCATTCTCCTCATCTATTCGGTGCTCATCATGCCTTGGTGGAGTTCGTCTCTCATACCGCTCAAGGCATTGCTATAGCTGCTATATTGTTACTGTGGAAACCGGTAGGTTTTGGAATACCTAGCCGTCAGTCTCATATATTTTTAATAAGAGATAATAAACCTCTTTCATATACAATTAGGTTACAATTAGTTAGAGAAAAAATAGGAAACTAACTCCTAATTTACAGCTAGCTACAAATCAACAACTAATCTACCATACAGAGATTACATATATTTTCGAAAATAGTATTTCGTAAACAGTAGGAAATAAACACGCTTTTCAATAGTTACTCATTTCCTCCATCTCGATATTTCGATCTCTTTCTTCCAACAACTCATCTTCTTCTACCAGTCTCCCTCGAAAAGTTGTTCCCCTCATAAAAAAAAAAGAATAACAATCAATAGATTCAATACCAACACTCCAAACTTGGGACCTGTGGGTTATGGGCCTACCACGCTTTTGGCTCTGATACCAATTGCTACTGGACGGATGGAAATTGGAAGGAAAGGAATGAATATTTCACCACTCAAGGATAAGATTTCACCACCTTGAGATACACAAAAAATTTAAGAATTTGTTACTCAATGGAAATCTACTAAAGAGATAAGAAATTCAAGAATAGAGTTGAATAACTTCAGTTTTCATTTCTCAATCACCCGTCAAGTAAGGCCAAATACAACCATTTATAGCCTTAGAAGGACCTTTAACAAGCTAAAAACGTTTTTCTAATGGCTGCAATAATCAGCCACTAATTACAAGCTTAAAAAAAATAAACTGAAAACATAACTCCCTTGTCAGTCATTTATCTCACACATAAAAAGCTGAAGATGCAAACCACGCAAATTCCAACTAATAAACATAGCTAAAAACCCCTAATTAAAGCACACACAACCTTCAGCCAGCCTTAAACACACAATTAAAACACAAAATTAACACCACCAAACAGCCCAAAAAACGTCCACCTTTAGATCTGATCAACCACCAAGTAATGCATCATTTTTAGGTCCGAACTTCCACTAAATAGCTTGAAGAGACAATTAGGTCCGAACCTGAACTTTCCCCTTGGTCCGAATGTCCAGACCTTGACCCGCCTTGAACTTCATCAATGGAGCTCCCACTCATGTTACTGGAACTGACACAAAATGTTTATTAGAAAGAGTAGATGTTTGCAAGAATGCATCAGATAGTCTGGAAGATTCTTTTTTTAACTTGTAGTCCTCGAGTTTAATCTCAGTTTTCAGGTATGTTTGAAAGTGCATTGCTCAAAAATGCATTTGGCTTCTGAAGTTGTTAATAGGAAAATTATTAGGAGTTTGACATTAGAGAAAGTTATCATTCCTTTCAACATTCATGATCTCAAGGAGTAGCTCACGGTGCTATAAGTTCTCCTTTTTTCCGCATAATTTTCCAAGCAACTTTTCCTGTAGATGATATTTTTAACATCTTGGTTTCGTCTAGCATTTTGCTGGAGAACTTTTAATGCTTGTTTTATGTTCTCCAGGTTGTTGTCCCCAGAACTTACCGCAAGTATACATCAAGAAAGGTTCTCACTACACAATGGATAGAAGGAGAAAAGCTTTCACAAAGTACGGAAAGTGATGTTGGAGAATTGGTCAACGTTGGAGTCATCTGCTATCTGAAGCAGGTAATTTGTCGATTGGCTCAGGAATCTTGCATCCTCTGTGTGTGATAGAAAACTTTTATTTGAAGAAAAACAAATAATTACTCTCAGCTGCTCTTTAATAGCTACTTTAGCCCTGGGTTATAGGAAATAGACGTTTCAAATGCTTGAGTATGATATTATTTAATTCTGTGGCCCTAGCTTTAACTTCTTGTCCATCTTAGTGGGGAAACGCTCTTTGTAATAGACATTTTACGAGCTCACTTATATGTGATAGCAAAATAAAGTGATGTTGTTTAGGTAGTGCAATAGGCACTGGTTGATGCACAATGCTGTTTCACTGTTGCATTTAGATGTTGGATTGCCAATTTACCTTGTTACGTTTTACTTGACTGGTTTGAAATATTTTGTTTAGAAATACCTTAATCTTATTAAGGCATATAGTATTACTTGGAAGAGAATCTTGTATACCTTTCTAGTATTACTTGGAAGAGAATCTTGTCTACCTTTCTAGTTTCTCCATGCTAGCTGAGTGACTATTACGCTCTTAACTTATTCAAATTCCAAAACAACAGGGTATTATCCATTATTATGTTGAAGGTTTGGACAGATTTATGTATTATATGTTAAGTCGGTTAATACATTTGTTATTTTTATTGACAGTTACTTGACACTGGATTTTTTCATGCTGACCCTCATCCTGGAAATTTGATACGGACTCCAGATGGGAAGCTAGCTATTCTTGATTTTGGTAGTAATCTACTTCATTTAGCATGATCAAAATGATCTTTCTGCATCAACATCATGCACAAATTTTCATTTCATAACATTAACTTAAACCCAGTTCTGCATTTAAAAGTTGTATTGATCTTTCAGCATTTTTAGATGCCGATATTTGCTCTCGCGTGCACATGTGAACAAAAAAAAAAAAAAAAAGGAAATGAAAATGAAAATGAACCTCTTCAAGTGAAATTCAAACTAGATTTCTTTTAACTGAGAGCATTTTAATCTTATCCTCAAATCAAATGTCTTATTAAGATAAAGTTGGAACTCATGATGTTTTTTCTTAGTGCATCCCAAAATTTAAAACATGTTGAAACGATTTGATTAAACCAAGATGTCATGCATTAGCTAAGGTGAGGGAAAAATGAGTGAACTTAAAATTTGATAATATTTATTGAAAATGTATATTATACGTATATGTGTGTGTGTGTGTGTGCATCCTTTCAATGTAATGCCATCAACTTTATGCAATTGAATACATCAAGGGTGCTAAATCTTCGGTTTGCAAACATCCCTTACATGTTTCACTGAGAATGATTTGTGACATTATCAATAGTTTGTTAACTGCAGAAATTGTGTTGCAAATATACTTATAATGTATCTGCAATCAAAGATCTCTCATTCAATGCTTGACGTTTCCTTCTCTCAGATACCCCAAGAATAGTTGTATTATTTTTGTAAACTTGTTTATGGGCTTCGTATTTTTCTATAATAGGCCTTGTCACAAAATTAACGGATGATCAGAAGTATGGGATGATTGAAGCAATAGCTCACCTTATACATCGTGATTATGGAGCCATAGTCAAGGACTTTGTTAAACTCGATTTCATTCCAGAAGGTGTTAATCTGGAACCTATTTTGCCGGTTCTGGCCAAGGTTTTTGATCAGGCACTTGAAGGTGGAGGAGCCAAAAATATCAATTTCCAGGAGCTGGCAGCGGACTTGGCACAAATTACATTTGACTATCCATTTCGGATACCTCCTTATTTTGCTCTCATAATCAGAGCAATTGGAGTACTTGAGGGGATAGCTTTGGTTGGAAATCCTGATTTTGCGATTGTCGATGAGGCATATCCATATATTGCACAGGTAAATGATGTTTTTATATGGAAACAACTATATTTGAGCATCTTTTACTTCTTTGTCACATAAACAAATGATGATTGCCTGGGCACTGGTGCAAATGCGATTTTGGCGATAGTTTATGAGACATTGCTGAACTATTTTAATGATCCAATATACACATAAAAAAAAACAGATGGATTATTTGTTGGAACAGTATTATTGTAAACAGTAAATAGTTGCTAACCAGTTGACAAATGAATTGCTAGGACCTGGTCTATATTTAAAAGTAATTGACTCGCGACTTCATATAATGCTTATTGATAGTTGGTATCTGAAATGAAATGATTACTTTGATTAGCCCTTTCCTCCATCCTTGGTCTTAGTATATCAACTTTACGTGTATGCATACGATGTAGCTAAGAAATTTTAATCTTATCTTCCTGCCATGTTGGGCTTGAAAATGTGTTAGTTGACTTGAAGAAGCTAGTTAAATGTATTTTTACAAAAGCACCAACCAGTTTTTCCAATAAGAATCTGTCTAGTTGCTTGGTTTGAGTTTATTGTGTGGTGTGGTCTAACTCTTTCTTTCATTGTCAGAGGCTCCTAACTGATGAATCCCCACGGCTAAGGAATGCTTTACGCTATACTATTTATGGGAAATCTGGAGTATTTGATGCAGAAAGGTTCATTGATGTCATGCAAGCCTTTGAGAGTTTCATAACTGCAGCTAAAAGTGGAGGTGGAGAAGATCTGAATGGTAATATGGCTGAACTTGGAATTTTGCAGCGTTCAATGGAAAATGCCTTTCCTGTACTTCTACCAGTTCCAGCTCAACAGGAGCCTGTCCAAACAAGGGCGGCCTTGGCATTTTTGCTGTCTGATAAAGGAAATTTTTTCCGAGAGTTTCTTCTGGATGAGGTACTTCCCAAAATGACTTTTGTAATAATCATGATTTTATCTAGTACTTAAGTCAAGCTTTTAAAAGTTGGAATCGGGCCTCGAGGCGTTTTGGCTAAAGGGCCTTTAGGCGTAAGCCTCAAAAAGTGCCAATAAAAAAATAAAAAATAATAATAGTAGTGAAAAACTAAATCCATACTCAATAATCATTAAAACAAGAAATTTAATTACTCAATCCATAAAAAGACAAGTCTAATTCACTGCTGGACGCATAAAAAAGAGTAAATAGTCATCAAATCCTAATACTATAAGGTTAATAATGCACTTCTAAAAGCCTAGATCTCTCCCGACTCATCAAGCATCATCAGAGATCATCTAGTCATTATTAGGCTTGTTAAATTCTGGGTAGATGTTTAAGAGATCATCTAGTCATTTGATACTCAAATAATGGGAAAAGTTAGTGAGCAGTGATGTGACGGTACATTACACGCAGATTTATTAAGGCAAACGAGTTAAGTGATAACTCTTTCTATGTATATTTATATGTGCATGTATGTATATATATGGTATCTCTTTAACCTTGACAAAGTTGAATACGTGATGGTTTAGTGATCACCATATTGACAATTATTAAGAGTATCGTTATTCAGAGAGAGCAAAATGTGCATGTCTTAGGTTGTTGTTTTCATCATAATCTTCTGTTGAGCTTTTTTTACCTTTTGCATTCTTGGAAGTGGACTCTTACAATTCTGCAGAACTTTGTCTAGTTTTTCCTGTTCGACTGCATTTTGTTCAATATCAAAGACAGACTTGAGCTGTGATCTCATAGTGTGTTCAAATGAGACTTGCAGTTTGTTTGCTTCGGTATTTTTTTTAATCACCAAATTCATGCATGACTTCTGAAAAATATGGGCGTTGTCTTTGGTATGCAAATTAGATTGTAAAGGGCATTGATGCAGTCACAAGGGAACAGTTGGTGCGTATAATGGCACTTCTTGGACTTGGAAATCCTACTCCTATTTTTAGTATGGTTCCTACTTTTGGACCTTTAAAGCCAGCAGGTCTTCTACCCACAATAACCGAGGAGGACAGAGTCATATTGAACAATGTTCAAAAAATCGTCGAGTTCTTGACTGCAGGAAGTTCAATATCAAGAACATCAAATCAGGTACTTTACATCCTAGCTCATACTTAACTAGTGATGTTCACCTATCATTTGCATATTTTGTTCCTTTCTTGAATACGAGTTCTAGTCTTACTTCTGTTATGTTTTTTTGGGGGAATCAACAGGGTATAAATGTTGCTCAGGTAATCCAAGAGCTTCTTCCAGTGTTGCCGGGCATCTCTGCCACAATACTGCCTGAAGTGGTCAATCGATTAACTTCTCGAATATTAGCTCGCGTTATTCGGGACACATTTTTGTAGAAAACAAGCTTAATTTTGCTGCCTAGACCTCAATTGTGACATATTGGTGAACTGTATCATATATATATATATAAGTAAAATGTCCAATCTACAGTTTAGGTCCTTTTCTAATCCTTATACCTACTAGGAATCAAAGAAGATGTGTATATAACATGATCAATTCAAATCACTGAACTTCACATGTAAAATTGGTTCTTACAAAAGCTAAATGAATCTTGTTTCTTTCCAAAAGAGATTGAATAGAATTCATTATATTTGCCACCTGCATTGTGCTCCCATATGCCTCTGTGTGGAAGTCTGCTTTCAAGTCTTTTATTTTATTTCATTTATCTATATAGTTTTTTATTTTTTATTTTATGAGCATTATCTTTGTATTTACTTGAGTATATTTGCTTCGAGCCTAAGCTTTCTAGTAAAATCACTTTTCCCTTTCAGGTTTTTTTTTTTTTTTTTTTTTTTTTTTTTTTTTTTTTTTTTTAATTATTGTGAGAATTTCTTAGTGGTCTATAAAAGAATACCAATACGTATCAGTATGACAGTATTTTGAATCGTCGAATTTTTACTTTTTACATACTTTTTCATATCAAATGGTGAGAGATTAATGTCCTATTAATTAATTAGTATTTTTAACTTATCTAATATTGAGACACATGCACTACGAGCTGGTTAGTATTTTTAACTTTTAATTGGGATCCGCCAAATGTTAATTTTGTTTTTACTCAAACATATCTTTTTGTTGGTTTTAAAAACGATTTTATATGCAGAAGTGTGAATTTAATGGACTGTGTATAATAAAAATTTTACAAATATTTGAGATACTCTATATATTACATTAATTTATACACGAATAAATTAATCAAATTAATTTATTTACCTAGCGAACGATTAGGTCGATAACTTGAGTTCTTTGACCACAAACGTTCCTTGCTCCAAGCTTCTTTAGAATACCTGAATTTTTCTCGTCAATTCATTGAATCTACGAAGATGTGCGTGTGGGCACACTTAAAACAAAACGGGATTAACAAATAAACACCCAAGTTTTCCACGAACACCAACACATGCACGACATGAAATTTAGAAAAATATTTTTCCTTTCCTCACTCTATAGAATTCGGTCACACTATGCTAGGGAGAGCAAAAATTGTGTTCTCTAATTTTCTGCAATCTCTTATTTATAGCGTAGTAGTCAAACTCCCAGAAGAAGTCTAGACTTTGTCTCTAGAACTTAATAATTATCTCTCACTTCGAATTGATTTTGGAAACAAAATTCCCTCTCTCCTTTATTCTATAGGGCTGGCCACCACAGGGATATTCCTCCCTGTGGTAGGCGCAAAAAGCAGATAGGGAAAGAAAAACAAAAAGCAGATAGCGAAAGAGGCAAAATTCTCCTTTATCCTCTAGTCTAATTTTGACTTAAATTCAAATTCCAATATAAGTCAAACTTAATTTAAGTTGAATTTCAATTGGATAACTTAGAAAGTAAGCAACTGAATCTCAAAAGGATTCACAATGTGTTGGGCGTGTACACCATGTGGACACCTCCACATGTGTGCTTAAAAATTCAAATTTAAATAATTACATTATTTTTAATTTATAATTAATTCTCAATTAATTATTGTTGACCGTTCTATTTAGAATTCAATAATTTTAAAATTTCCATTTTACCCTTAGTGTCTTATAGGATTACAAGGACGACGCGGAGACTTATGAACCTATAATTCTGAGCTCCAATAAAATTAATAATTAATTAAAATTCTTTAATTAATTAATTAATTAATTATATTAATTCTAAAAATTACTCCACTATAAACTTGGAATTTCACTCTCGTAATTATGGATGTAATTTACTTCTAAACTTTGAACTACCCATTTGATAAAGTCATTACATATAGATCAATCCTCCATAAATAATTCATAATTAGAGTTAGGTGAAATCCATTAATCTTTCTAATTACATCCTTGAGTATCATTAATTCTCTAATGGATAGTGATTCATAAAACAAATTCATGAATCGGACCTCCTCCTAGTCCAAGTACCGAATCAATCCTAAAGAGAATTATTTATCTACTTCTTTCTCAAGAAGGAATGGATTCTATCTCATATATTAACATTTTCAGCTACTCATTTTATCATATCTTCAAAATACAAGGAATAAGATTCAACATCTCAGAATCTGTACCGAGTAAATTAAAGAGCAAAAATCCATAAATAGGAGTACGCAAATAACTCAGGATTAAGATCGCTCTATATATGACCATCTGTAGACTCAATTAGAATTTCTATGCTTAATGAAAATTATCAGAAATTAATATTGTGTCTGTGTCCCGGTTCCACATAATCTTATTATGCGTAATATAATCATTCAATATCTCACCATATTAGCAGTGCAGATATCATCATTCCATTCTAAATGGGAATGACATGTATTAGTAATGTTTTAATTAAATTGATTACGAACATCGTTTTGATTATTATCCTTAAATATTATCCTCTCACATAAAACACTTATATACAATATTTAAGGTCACATAAATAATCACGGAATTTTTAGTGATATTCATAAAATATTCAATAGTATATGGACATAAAATAATGAATAAACTATTTTATTAAATTAAAATATCCTATTACATCTTAAGCTTCTAAGACAGTTCCTAACAATCTCTCACTTGTCCTTAAACAGGTGTGACATGTTTCTTATCCCAAATCCTTCTAAGTGTCCATCAAACACATTTAGTGGCAATGTCTTCGTGAACGGGTCAGCAAGGTACATCACCTATTTCTACTATGTCTCTAATCAGGTGATATTTTCTTTCTATATGTTTAGCGCTCTTATGACTTCTAGGTTCTTTTGAATTAGCTATCACTCCACTGTTGTCACAGTAAAGCTTAATTGGCTGATCCATGCCCAGAATAATTTCCAGATCAGTCAAGAACTTTCAGAGGCATGTAGTTTCATTTGCAGCTTCACAAGCTACAACTTACTCAGCTTCCATGGTAGAGTCAGTAACACACCTTTGCTTTACGCTTCTCTATACCACAACTCCTCTATTAAGAGTGAACACATATGCAGATGTCGACCGTCAACTATCTCTATCCAATTGGAAATCAAAATCTGTGTATCCAGTGAAACACAGATCTTATCCAGAATATACCAACATATAGTTTCTCATTATCCTAAGATACTTGAGCATTCCCTTTACTGCAACCCAATGATCTAATCTTGAGTTAGACTGGTAGCGACTGACTACTCCCACTGTATAGCAGATATCCGATCGAGTACACATCATGGCATACATGAGGCTTCCAATTGTAGATGCATAGGGATACCATCTCATATCTTCTTCCTACTATGGAGCCTTAGGACATTGCTCTTTTGAAAGATGAATTCCAAGCCTAGAAGCGAATTCTCTTTCTTGGAGTTTTACATCAAAAACCTGACAAGCACTTTGTCTATGAATGATGCCTGAGATAACACCAACAGCTTTTTCTTTCGATCTTGAATAATCTTAATCCCATGAACATAGCTTGCCTTTATCAAATTTTCATTTAGAATTGGTTGGCTAACCACTTCTTTACGTCTGTCATCAATTCCACATCATTCCTAATGACTAGAATGTCATCTACGTAAAGAACTAAGAAGCTCACTTTCTCTTCCATTTTATACTTGTAGACACAAGGTTTATCAACATTTTGATCAAATCCATAAGACATAATACCCTCATTAAACCTATTGTTCCATGATTTAGAAGCCTCCTTTAATCTATAAATGCATCTCTGCAGTTTGCAGACTTTCTACTCTTGGCCTTTCTCTATGTAACCCTTTAGCTGATCCATATAGATGATTTCCTCAAGATAGCCATTCAGAAAAGTTGTCTTGACATCCATCTACCATATCGCATAGTCAAAATATGTTGTTATGGCCAGGAGTATCCGAATGAACTTAAGCATAGCTACCTGATTAACGCCCAAAAGTGATATTCACAAGCGGTCAATTGTAGCACAGAAGGGCGGTCGTATCCACAGAGAGATAACAAAGTAGCAAGAAAGACAAACAGAATAAGAGCGTTAGAGAAAAGTGAATTAAAGAAAAAGAATAGTTTTTGAGATTTTGTTGCAAATAAAATAAAAAGGAGAAAAGATTTGTGTTGAAGAAAACGGTAAGGTGTCGAGAATCCCTAATGTTTCGTTCACCAATCCAAGTTTTGATTCACAATATTAAATAACTGAATAAATTAAATCTGTATGTTGACTCCAGAAATATTATTATTACAAGTTATCTAAAATCGACAATATATCAATCTGACAATATTGCAGTAAAAGACAATTTGTAAAATAATTTGAATAACAAAACATTGCATGACAGAATTACATAAGAAAAGCGTGACTGAACTTATATAAAAATTGACACACAATATTTTGAAAAGTAATAGAAAAATAGATGAGATTTAATTCATTCAGATGTTGAAGTTTACAGAATAAGGAATCAAAACCCTGAATTGGGTCACTCAACAGAAGTTCATCTCTAACCTCACCAAGAAAACTTTAGCCTATCTTGCAAAACATTCTCACAAGTTCTAGAGAGAAAATATGAGACTGACAGCAAGACGACAAAAAAACTGAATATTCAAAGCTCTCTAAAACCTTAGGCTAACCCCTCTATTTATAGTGTTCAGAGGTTGCCTGTCAAATAAGGAAATAAATTGTAAAACTAGAAAATTACAAAAGAAAAGGAAACAAAATAAAATTACACATAAATTAGGAGAAATCATATATTTGATTTGGGGCAGAAATCTGGTAATTTGCTCTGATTTTTGGGAAGGATTTCGGATTGATCACCAACTCGGACACGTGTTGCAACGTGATTGGAACTGAGGAGTAAGGCCGCCACGTGTCGCGCACGGAATGGAGGAAGTCTACTGGCAGTGGTCAGGCGACGAGGGAAGCTGGCCAACACTGGGGTCCCACCGAGACAGGTGGCGTGCGTAGAATGGGCGGTTGGCTGGCACGCTGAGACGCGGGACCCATGGGGGATAAAACTGAGACGCGCTTAACTGCTACGTGGGAAGCACGAGCGCCCTGAAAGTTGGGCGTCCTGGTGATGCGCGAGGCGTGAGACGGCGGAAACAAATGCGCACGGATTCCTGCGCTGAGTGGTGGGGTCCACGAGCTGATGTTGGCTCGGCTAAGCTACTCGACTCTCTCTCTCTCTGATCGGCTTGTACGGCTC